CAAACTATGTCATTTCGGGACTAATATATGGTTTATTTTTTTTATTTCAATAATTCGCTTGCGCGTAGGGGTCTTTAGCAGTGGGAGGAAACGGGAGGACCCAGAGAAAACCCACGAGGTTGGACAGGCGACCCTACTCCTTATCACGTAAAACCGGGGATTCGAAACCACGCCTGTTGACTCAATGACAGGCTTTATGATACAGTGCGCACATGCTAACAATTCGGTCACCCAACTCCCATGTTATGGAGAAAATTAGAACCGAAATAGACGAGTTGGTACAAGTGCACTTACTTTTTTTGAAAACCAGCGGCTGCCAGGCAGGATACGCCCACATTTTCGAGAGATGGATAGAGAACAAGCTAAAAAGAAAGTGATTTTTCGTACAATCAGGGGCCATAATTCAGGAAGTTACGGTCCGAATATCGAAAGGAACCGAGATCTTTGGGTTATAAACTTACATTTCAAGTTTCAACAAAATCGGATAAAAATTGTGACCTCTATAGGGTCCACAACCTTGATATACCATATTTGTACGCTATCTGAGAACGAAGGGCGGCCATTTTGTTTGTCAGTTTTGGGCCGATTTTCACGAAATCCGAAGCTCAGTCGGCCTTAGCGTCTAACGGTGATACAATAATACGATTTTTTAAATCGGATAAAAATTATGACCTCTATAGGGTCCACAAGCTAAAAACGCAATTTTTCGTACAATCAGGGGCCATAATTCAGGAAGTTACGTTCCGATATGCGCGAATATCGAAAGTTACCGAGATCTTTGGGTTATAAACTTAAATTTCAAGTATCATCAAAATCGGATAAAAATTGTGACCTCTATAGGGTCCACAACCTTGATATACCATATTTTTACGCTATTTGAGAACGAAGGGCGGCCATTTTGTCTGTCAGTTTTGGGCCGATTCTCACGAAATTTGAACTCAACCGTCCTTAGGGTGTAACGGTGTTATAATAATACGGTTTTTTTTAAATCGGATAAAAATTATGACCTCTATAGGATCCACAAGCTAAAAACGCGATTTTTCGTACAATCAGGGGACATAATTCAGGAAGTTACGTTCCGATGTGCGCGAATATCGAAAGTAACCGAGATCTTTGGGTTATAAATTTACATTTCAAGTTTCATCAAAATAGGATTATAATTGTGACCTCTATAGGGTCCACAACCTTGATATACCATATTTTTACGCTATTTGGGAACGAGGGGCGGCCATTTTGTCTGTCAGTTTTGGGCCGATTTTCACGAAATTCGAACTCAGTCGCCCTTAGGGTGTAACGGTGATATAATAATACGGTTTTTTTATATCGGATAAAAATTATGACCTCTATAGGGTCCACAAGCTAAAAACGCAATTTTTCGTACAATCAGGGGCCATAATTCACGAAGTTACTTTCCGATATGCGCGAATATCGAAAGGAACCGAGATCTTTGGGATATAAACTTACATTTCAAGTTTCAACAAAATCGGATAAAAATTGTGACCTCTATAGGGCATACAACCTTGATATACCATATTTTTACGCTATTTGAGAACGAACGACGGCCATTTTGTCTCTCAGTTTTGGGCCGATTTTCACGAAATTCGAACTCAGCCGTCCTTAGGGTTTAACGGTGATATAATAATACGGTTTTTTAAATCGGATAAAAATTATGACCTCTATAGGGTCCACAAGCTAAAGACGCGATTTTTCGTACAATCAGGGGCCATAATTCAGGAAGTTACCTTCAGATATGCGCGAATATCGAAAAGAACCGAGATCTTTGGGTTATAATCATACATTTCAAGTTTAAAATAAATCGGATAAAAATTGTGACCTCTACAGTGTTCACAAGCTAAAAACGTGATTTTTCGTACAATCAGGGGCCATAATCCATGAAGTTACAGCCCGATACATGCCAATATCGACAGGAACCGAGATCTTAGGGTGATAAACCTATATTTCAAATTTCATTGAAATCGGATCTGTAGACTGTTCACAAACAATTGTGGACGGACGTCCGGACGGACGGACGGACAGGGGGCGACGACAATATACGTCCACATGAAAAGATATGTATGAAGAATTATTTCTGCCCTTGCATCACCAGTCAAAAAGGGGGCATATTCTGGCGCATTCCTCCCTGGTTGCCTGACTGCAATGTAGCCGTGGAAATTTAAACCCCTCTTGTTAAACTCTATTGAACAAATGACAGGGTTAGGGTGACTAGAGATCAATCACCAAACACAATTTTCAATGTGAATGTAAATCAAGCTGCATTACACTTTTACAGAGAGATCAGTAATAGATGTACTTGTTACAAGTGAAAACTTTCTTGTATGGATTTGTGTATATTTTTCGAATATAAAAGTGACAGCCAAACATATGCCGACAGTGACTTTGATTTTAATAGTGATGATGATATTGATGAAATTATGTGAGTACTTAAATGTATTGTACATGTCAATAAATTTTCATATTATATTTTGTCACTTTATGCTTACTATATGTTTTTATTTTACTTTTTTATTTTAAATTATTTCCGACGGTTTCCCCTTGTCAGTGGTGCAGGCGGAGGGGGCTGACAAGGCATAAGGCACAAGGACAGCAGTCTAGTCGAGGTCCCGTGTATACATTGGTGTGCACGTAAAAAGAACCCTTGGCAGTTGTAATTCGATATAAACGTAGGCCATAGTCTGTGCCCAGGCAAAATTTGCCTTTCAATTTTGTACAGTGTATATGGCACAAGACCTGATCTCTGTGTAAATACATGTATTCTGTGAATATAAGAACCTGGACAGCACATTAGAAACCGTTCTCCAGTATTAATACACTTTATAAATGATGATGTTATTATTATTATTATATAATTTTTTCATTAATACTAGTGGTGTATGGTATTGTTGTGTACGAGGAAATTTATATAATTGCATTTGTTTATTTTTTTTAAATTTCTTTCTTTAAATAAATGTAATCTTATACTCTCTTATAGGGGGTTGGGTAGCCGAATGGGTAGCATATGCGCGCTGTATCATAAGGTCTGTCATTGAGTCCACTGGCGTGGTTTAGATTCCACGGTTGTACTTGACAAGGAGAAGGGTCGCCTGTCCAACCTCATGGGTTTTCTCTGGGTCCTCCGGTTTCCTCCCACTGCTAAAGACCAATACACGCAAGCGAATTATTGGAATAAAATTGAACCAAAATTACCTAGTTTGTGTCGAGTGGAAGTTAAACCCCATTTCTCTCTATATATACTCTTATAATAAGGCTATTGTTTTCTTTTTTTAAAAAAATAGTAAAATTGATGAAGGTGAATTATTATTAATTGTATCGATCAGATCACATGGTATTATTATTTTTGTTTTTTCTTAACATTATATATAATTATAAGACCGAACCAGTATTTCAAGCATGCCAAAATCGTTTTCATCTGTATTAAGTATACATTTCTCTTGGATATTGATTGTTTCACTGAAATAGTTTTGAAGAAATACTTGTTTCCAGAAAATAAAAGATTCATTCAATCATTGGTGCTATTTCCCAATTAATTTATGCTACAGATCAGGGGTAAGTCGTCTTTACCGTGTCAATGCAACATTTAACAGGTGGTATTATCCAGTAATCCCGGAATATTTGGAGAGAAATTCTCTCTGACAAATGTAAACAGTCCAACGTGTTCCGTCTCATAAAAGGAATTCCCTGGTCTATTTATGGCTATTGACCCTTGACCTATGACGATCTTTGCTTTTATGGTTTCTGATTGGCTTAGAATTTGATTTTTTTTTCACCCGATTATGGCTACACTTGACAAATATAGTTCGAGACGTAATTCGAGTGCAAGACGTATTGTGCAATGCATCGGAACAGAAATGTATGCGACGGCCTACTGGTTAAATTATGTAACAAAGCGTCAGATTTTCACCCGGAATCTGCTGGGACGAGATGAAACGATTTTCGGAGCTAAATCACAGCTTAATACTGATCCCTGGGTTAAGAGACTGACGGTTGCGAGGATCGCGATTAGATAACTGAACAGTCTATTTTTCTTTCAAGTCCACCTCACGTCCGTTGTATCTATGACATGTTAGGTAATTAGAAAAAATAGTTTTCTTATACTCTTTCCTTGTCCCTTATCCATCAAATAATTCACTGCTATCACTTATGACCAGTTCAAAGAAGCGGTTGCCATGCAAGATGCGCCCACATTTTGATCCTTAATATATTGACAAGTTTCATCAGAATGGGACAATAATGGTAGCCCCTCTGGAGGGCCTATAAAATCCATACATATTTCAAATTTTGCGTGAAAAGCAGGGGCCATAGCTCTAGAATGTAAGGTCTGATGCGTACCAAAGTCGAACTCGTCCAAGAACTAAACACATAGTTTAAGTTTCACCGAGAAAGGTCATATTTCACATGTTGTGTAAAAGGCAAGGAGGGGCAGATGCACACGAAAATTGAACTCACCAAAGAACTAGTGATACTCGTTTTAAAGTAGCCAAGTCTCTAACTCAGTATCACCCAAAGTCTTTGACATTGAAAACGCGAATTATTTGTCCATTTAAATCAACATTGATGTTGTGATTTTAACGGGAAAAGTGGGTTTCTGATATAGGCCAGTAGCTGACATCGAATATCTTGTCACCTTTGCTCCATCAAAAAGCAATTTATTATTTTAGTGAAAGAATGTGTTAATTATAATTAGAGAAATAACCCACAGTTTTGATAAACTCTGCTTTTAAATTTCGCGCTCCATATCTCGGCCCAATCAAACAAAATGGAGTGTTTTGAGAAGTTCCTTGGTGACGTGATTGACCAATCGGGCGCTTCTGGATAATATGTTAGCCTCCAATACTACAACAAAACTAACGAAGAAATGTATTATTCACATGTTATCAATTAAGTTAAAGGTTCACAAGCCTTGAATACATTCAGTTAGGACCATTGCTGCAGAGAGTGGTTTAAAAAAGATGGAAATGAAAAGGTTATGGCTATGATTCCAGATGATGGCGAATCTACGACCATTATAAAGCCCAGACTCCACCAGTCCCATGTACCAGTACGACGAATTTGAAAATAATATCACGGATAAAGTGTTTCGCCCAATTTGCTAACTGAGGCGATACAAACATAGGCTCTGATTAGTAGGATCAGTATTTCATGAAATGGTTACAGTTGGAAGACCAGAAGCGATTTGCCAAGGTAAGCAGTTAGTTGAAAAATAATGTTTAGAAAGTTTGTTAATAACTAAATCTACATTTGTTCATTATTATTGTATTTTGATAAATCAGTTCCTGTGTGCAAACTCACGGAGCAAATTTGATATTTCAAGGGAGTTAGATATCTATAACAGCTTGACAGGCAAAGTGCTCACATTGCACAGCTAACGGCAGAATGTAAATAAATTTGTGTTTTTCCTGCTATAACCCACCTAGGCCTTGATTATGGACAATAAATTCCATTTTTTTATTCATTAATGCATCCACCTTCATTAAGTTCATTTATTTCAGAACTGACAGTTACAGATCATCCAGTTATTTCATTCACACATAATTTAAAAGCGAATGGTTATATATATATTACCAGCAGAAAATATGATAGATAATTTACCAACCTCATCTACTGATAAAAACAATACTGACACATCACCTATTTTTTGAGGAACTGGATCCAACAAGAATTAATGCCAATTCGTTATGGAGGGGGAATAAATTCTACTTTAGACTGTGATATTACAGTCACCCACAGTGATGATATTTTGTTATAAACATTCCTAATTTTTGCATTATATGGTTTTAATTTGTGTTTTTATGTTCACATTTTTGTGTACACTAAATGTCTGTACAAATACTGTCATTTTTTAAAAAAACTTTTATGTTGTTAATAACTGCTCTCTCTTCAGCAATGTGTAAAAAATAGATTGAACTATTGAAGAGAAATGAACAGAGCTTAACACTCTAGTCCATAGACCTTTGTGAGTTAGTCCCCCAACTGCCAAATAAGCAGTCCCCCGACCTGTGCCCCTGACTAAATATGGTGTACATTTAGACCTTTTCTTTCTTGGAACCGAGGGGGTTGGTGGCTGGATGGGTTAACGTGTGCGCGTTGGATTGAGTCAAGTAGCGTGGTTTTGATTCCAAGCATGTACGTGACAAGGAGTCCAACCTCATGTATTTTACTCCGGGTCCTCAGGTTTCCTCCCACTGCTATATGTTGTCCATTGCTAGGCCCTCTGTCCTACACCACTGACAAGGGAGAGGGAACATACAGATCAACGTTCTCGACCAACACCGGTACCTCAAGGTTTGTGAGACACCGTGGCCCCCAGTTTTGAAATGGGCTTTAACATCCTACGTTGAGGTAATGAAGACAGGTATACGCAAGATTGTAGTATGCTATGAGGTACTTCTGTTGAACAGCAGCACTATGGCCTAATCTTATTTCAAATTCTACCAAAGGGCTCTTTTACGCGAAAGACAACGTGTACACAAGTTTGCAAGCCTGTCCGAATATAAGACGGTTCCTTGCCAGGGCCTCCATCTTGTTCCAGTGAAAACAGGAACCAACACTGGGTAGAATCGAACCCAGCACACCCTGCTTTCTGTACCAACGAGGCTGATGAAGAGAGGCATACACATGGAAGTCGATGGGTACTCCTTAGCTCCTTTGAATGGCCGAAGGTCTGTCATTGAGTAAACTGGCATGGTTTCGATCCCCAGTTGTATGTGACAAGGAGTGTTGGCTGCGAGATTAGGACCATTTGTCACGGCTTCCTGGCTTTACACTTAGTCACCTGGAAGGCAAGAAGGGATACTTATCCATACATATGCTGTGTAATGTGCTATGAGGAAATTTTGCCTGTACAGCGGTACTATGACCTACTTTTATTATTTTGAATATCAACTGTTTATGGTTCTTTTATGCGCCACACTAACGGATCTCCTGCTTGAGTGGCGGGATGCAGAATATTTTGTTGGGGGTGAGGTGGGGGATCCCAACGTCACCCCAATCAAGACAAAATTTAAATTTACATGTTTTGCAGAAACACAATAATTAGTGAATTTCATACGGTTTTTGGAGTAGGGGGTGGGGCTGGGATCATAGGCTACTGCCTGAATGGCGGGGCATCTCACTTCACCTCAAGCAACAAAAATTTATAAATTAAAATTTACATGTTTCGTTGAAACACAATAATTTGTGAATTTTATACTGTTATTGGTGAGGGGATGGGGCTAGGGTCTCCACATATGGATCTGCCACTGGTCACAAGTAGAACAAGTAGAAATAACATGTAGGCAGGCCTACGACAGATCTCACGAGTTTACAAATTTGGGTCACATTTTTAATCAGACAAACCACCAGCACACATATTCTATCATAGTTCTATTAGTAAGTGCAGGGGTACCGCACTACACGCAAAACAACCAGCGGCTGCCAGGCAGGATACGCCCACATTTTGCAAGAGATGGATAGAGAACAAGCTAAAAACAAACGCGATTTTTTGTACAATCAGGGGCAATAATCCAGAAAGTTATGGCCTGAAATGTACAAATATCAAAAGGGACAGAGATCTTTGGGATATAAAGATATGTTTTAAGTTTCATCAAAATCGGATAACGAGAGCATTGCTAACGTTGCAATATACGTCCACATTCCAGCTTTGATTGATATGGTACTTTTTAAAATGAAGAGAATGAAATATGAAATGGCTGTAATATGATCAGAGGCAAATAAGGCTAGGCGTTGGGTTTGTTTTTCCAAATTTACAGACAAAATACTAACAAAAAAGTGGGTGTGACACTGCCCCAGGGGGTCGGGGCAAGCATCAAAATAAATAGTTGCTGTCTTTACGGTATAAGGAATAAATATGCAAAGTTCAAAGATGATCCATTCAGAATTGCAGCCTGTAGACGATAAATACAAAAAATGGGTATGGCTCTGCCAGTAGGGGTTGGATATGGAACAATGTAAATAGGTACCACCCTGTTTATTGAAATGACAACATCAATAGTTGCTGTCCTTAAGGAATAAGTATACCAAGTTCCAAGATAATCCATTCAGAATTATGGCCCTCAGGCGCTAAAGGCAACCATTAGGGCGGGGCTCTGCCCCTGGGGGTCGGGGCATTTTTTTTCTAACGATATTTATTCACAGAAACTGGATTGGAGAACAGGCAGAGGCCTATAGACCCCCTCTCATAAAAGTATAAACATAAATATATAATGAAAAGTAAAGCAGAAGAACGATTAAATTATAAGATGGCTATATACAATGTATACACGATATGTACAAACCACAATCAGAATGTTTATATTTTAAAATTTACATACGGAATTTTCAAAATCTTTGAGAGATGTCGAGGAAGTTATGTACTGCCGAAAACATTTCTTCAGAATTGTTTCTGTCTTCAGTTCCGAATAATAAGTTTTGAAAATTTTGATAAAGTTTTGAACGTTTTGATATTGTCGCAAATTGTGCATCTGAACGTAAGGGACAAATTAAAAGAAAATGTTCAGAGTCTTCAAAGGCGTGACCACAATCGCATGTAGGGTTGTCAGAAATATGCCTGAGAAAACGATGTCCGTTTAAATCACTGCAAGCGAGTCGAAGGCGTGAATGGTGAATTTGATTTCTCCTGCTGCCAGTATGATGAAGGTAAAATTTGATCAAGGTAGCCGAGTTTAGATTTAAAAGAAGATAAAGTAGGTAAGTTTCTAGTAGAAAGATCGAATAGATTCCATTCTCGAATTGTAGATGGTATAAAAGAAGAAGAAAATAAAGAAGTTCTGCAGAAGTATGTTGGGATGTTACTTTGGTTTCGTAGGCGATATGAATTTATATTAGGTGGTATCAGTTGAAATAAGTATTCGGGAGTGATATGGTTTATGATTTTGTAGAATAAAATTAATTCATGTCGCCTTCTTCTCTCCTGCGGTGTAATAAATCCGGTTTCCTTATATAACACATGGTGACTTGTACCTTTCACAGAACTGCATATAGTCCTGAGTGCATCTAGTTGTAAGAGTTCTAGTTTATGTGTTAGTTCGGTGGTACTCCCATCCCAAATAACGTCACAGTAGTCGAAATGAGGAAGAATATATGATGTATACATGGTTTGAAGAGATCTACGACTTAACCTATATTTTAACGATGGAGACAATTTACAAGTTTACTTGTTTTGGCCAAAATCTTAGTTATATGAGTATCCCACTTACAGTTTGTTTGGAAAGTCAGCCAGAGGTTATTGTGCTCAGAAACTTCTTTAATTGCAACATTGTCTAGATTCAGTGTCGGAAGAAATAAATTCGTTTTATTTGCTAGTGCTAGGGTTTCAGTTTTCAGCGGGTTAAAAGATACAAGCCACGTCTTAGCCCAACGGCTTATTCTCTCTAGATCACCCTTTAAGACTTCCGCACATTCGGTTGGGTCAGTTATTTTTATATATAAACTAGTGTCATCAGCAAATAATTTAATATTTGATTTTATACTGTTTACTATATCGTTGATGTATATAATGAAAAGTAATGGACCGAGAACGGAGCCCTGTGGAACACCAGCAGGGACCGTTAATGGCTCAGAGGAGGTTCCGTTGACAATAACTTTCTGTTGTCTGTTAGACAAGTAGTCTCTGAACCATTCTAACAAGTCTCCTCTGACCCCAACGGCCCCAAGCTTATGGCAGAGTGCGGCATGCCAAACTCTGTCAAAAGCTTTACTGATGTCACAGAACACCGTTCTCGTATATTGGCCTTGGTCGATGGCTTGACAGAAGAAGTGCGTAAGATCTATTAGTTATATATATAGGTAGGACTAGAGTACTATTATCTTAGAACTATGTTCAAAATGTTATATTATTATAAGATCTACATCTAGGTAAGTATAAAGTATCGTTATTTTACAATTTTGTCCAAAACAATGTATATCATTATGCGATCTGTATATATGGAAATATAAAGTACCATTGCCTTACAATAATATTTAAACAGTATATTTATTATGACATCTGTATAGATGTTTTATCTTACAACTATGTTGAGATTTGTATCTAGGTAATGTAAAGTCCTGTTATCTTACAACTATGTTCATAGCAATATAGTATTGAGGATTTTATCTAGGTAAAGCTAGACAACAGTTATCTTACATAAGTATTTAAAACAAATCTGAGTCTAGGTAAATATAAAGTACCGCTATCTTACAACTATGTTCAAGGCATTATTTTATTATGAGATTTGTATCTAGGTAAGCATAAAGTACCGTTATCACACAGCTATGTTCAAATCGAATATTATTTTGAAGATCTGAATCTAGGCACGTTTAAAGTACCGTTATCTTACAATTATGTTCAAAATAATTTTTATTCTGAGATCTGTCTCTAGATAAGAATATTGTACCGTAACCTTACTACAATATTTTATAGTTAAATATAGAGTACTTTTATCTTACAGCTGTGTTCAAAACAAATATTTTTATGAGATCTGTATCTAGGTTACTATAAAGTACCGTTATCTTACAACTGTGTTCAAGAAAATACATCATTTTTGAAGTCTGTATCTAGGTGTGTACAGAGTACCGCTATCTTACAACTATGTTCGACACAATATATTATTATGAAAAACAGTATTTAGGTAAATATAAAACACCGTTTTCTCACAACTATGATCAAGACAATATATTATTATGAGACCCGTATCTGTGTAAGCATAAAGTGCCGTTATATTACATCTATGTCCAAAGCAGTATA